TGGAGGCTCCAGGCGGGTTGTTTTCTGCCACGTGGACCACGTAGGAGGCCTGGTGGAAAACTGGAGCGTTGTCGTTGACATCTGCGAGGCGCAGAGTGATGCTTATACTAGAGGAGAGGGGCTGCTTGCCTCTGTCGGTGGCCATTATAGTGACGTTGTATTCTGGGATCTCCTCCCGGTCCAGGGTCCTGTCTGTCACTAGCTTGTAATAGTTCTTCGAGTAAGATTTCAATATAAACTCGGTCTTTCCCAAGATTTGGCAGTAAACTTCTCCATTTTCTCCAGAGTCTCTATCTCTTGTTTTTATCAAGGCGATCACTGTTCCTGGTGGTGAATCCTCTGGTAGGGGAGTAAATATTGAAGTCACAATCACTTCTGGTGCACAATCATTCTCATCGAGAATTTCGACTTGGACACTGCAATGGGCTGCTAGATCTCCAGGATCTTTCGCTTCTATAGTGAGAGTGTAACTACTAGCGATTTCAAAATCAAAATCATCCTTTGTCGTGATTTCTCCTGTTCTTCTGTCTAAGTTAAAAAATCGTTCCACTTGTTCATCCACATTATGAAAGGAGTAGATGATCTCTGCGTTGACGCCCTCGTCCTGGTCGGTGGCTGTCAGTTGAAGCACTAAGAAGCCAGGGGGCACACCCTCTTGCAGGCTGACCCTGTACACGTCCTGGCTGAACACTGGGGGATTATCGTTGGCATCTGTGACTTGGATTTGGATCTGGGTGGTGCCACTTTGGGGTGGGTCCCCACCGTCTACAGCTGTCAGGACCAGGTGATGAAAATTCTGCTCTTCTCTGTCCAGAGAATGTTTCAGAATCAACTCAGGATATTTACGTCCATCTGGAGTCTGTTTCTCTGTGAGATCAAAGTGCTCATTTTCATTAAGGTTGTATCTTTGCAGTGAATTAGGACCAACATCCAAATCCAGCGCTGGGTCTAGTGGAAATGTTTTACCTGGCTTAGTGGATTCTCCAATTTTTAAGTCAATCTTACTCTGTTTGAATAGCGGAGTGTTGTCATTTATATCCTGTACTATTACTGATACATGGAAAATATTTAGTGGGTTTTCAGCGACAGTATCGAAATCCAGAATGCACAGAGGCTTCTTCCCACAAATCTGCTCTCGGTCTATTCTATCACTCACAAGTAAGTCCCCGCTCTCAGGGTTTACAATAAAATATTCCTTCTCCGCGGTAACCCGCAACTTCCGGGCCGGCAAGTCCCGGACACTGAGCCCCAGATCCTTGGCGAGGTTTCCTACCACCGAGTTCTTGGCCAGCTCCTCGGGAATTGAGTAGCGAATTTGGTCTGGGAGAGCCCCGCGGATCAAAGACAGCAGGAAGGGCAACAGTACCTGCCGCCACCGCGCTCGGCCGCTCCTCTCTGCGCTCGGCCTCATCCTGTCTCCCTCCACTGCTGCTCCGCTCCTTGGTCGGGAGGAGGAATAAGCAAAGTCCGGGATAGGGTCACTTTTCCTGCTTTCGTTTCCACTATCCAAACCTGTACTGGCCTCCCTTGTGTGGTTTGTTTGAGCAGGAAGTTACCCTTTCAGAGGTTCCCAAATGCGTCTCTGATTATCATCTCTTCCTTCTTTTGACCTACAGCGACGCCCAGAGGTTTTCCCCAGAAACTGCACTAATGACTTGTAAATGTTTTGCAAGGAACTATTTTTGTTTTCTCTTTTTTTTGGGGGGGATTTACAAGGAGTATTTATTTGTTTTTAAATAGGTATACATTCATACAGTTCGAAATTCAAAGGCACGTATGGCATATTTTATAGGCTCTCCCTCTCTGCTTTCAACAACATATTTCTCCCAGGAGAAATGAGTGCTATGTTTTTTGTGTATCATTCCATTAGTATGTTTTGTAGAGTTCAGCAGATTTCTAAAAATATTTTCCCCCGGTTTTAGACACAAAAGTATACAATACACAGTGTTTTGCATCTTTCTTTTTTCACTCATTATATCTTTTTTTTAATTGATGGAAATTTGCTTTTTATTTTTTGACAGTTTGCAGATGTTTCTTTCAAATTCTCAACCATTTGTTAGTAATAAAATGTAATTTTTTGATTGTTATCCAATTTGAGGAAACTTCTATTGAGTTTCCTTGAAATCTGAGCTATAAGACTTTGGTGCGTTTTATTTTATTAAATTAATTTTTATTGGAGTATAGTTGCTTTACAATGTTGTGTTAGTTTCTGCTGTACAGCAAAGTGAATCAGCTATACGTATACATATACCCTCTCTTTTTTGGATTTTCTTCTCATTTAGGTCACCACCAAGCATTGAGTAGAGTTCCCTGTGCTGTACAGTAGGTTCTCATTAGTTACCTATTTTATACATAGTAGTGTATATATAACTCATTATATCTTGAAGATAACATATTCTAACAGTACATAAAAAGGTTTCCCATTTTTAATTTCTTATGGCTATGTAGTAGCCCATCATATAATTGTGCAATTTTTTTAACCAGAAATATTACTTTCTAAAAGAAACCCAGTGTCCACTCAAACAAAAATGTATTTCCATGTGATATTAGTTATAAATTATCTACTGCCCTCCTAGGCATTTAAAAAATATATATCACTCTGATTCTGGAATGTATTCTTAATGCCAGCATGCAAATATGTCTGTCACAGTTTCAAGACAATTGATATTTCCAAATTATATTTTAAAGCTTCAGCATTTTAAACGATCTATCCTCAGGTACGATTTGTTTCTCAATATTCATTAATTATTTTCTCTTTCCTCTCCTCATGCCAGCTAGTTGTATCATACCACATTCCTGTTTTACTCTATGTATTGCACCACAATTTCCCATGAAGATAAAGGCATTTAGAAACTCAAACTCTCCTTCTTAAGCTGAATTGAGGCATAGTCCACAAACTATTGCTACAATTTCCAGGTATCCAAAGTTCACTAATTTTTGCAGTCCTAGACATTCATGAATATTTTCCCCAAGTCATATCATCCCAGAGCCCAACAGTGACAGAGATACCTATGAGCAATTTTTGGGACCAGGGCTGAGACCTTCTTACTAAATAGCATAAATCATATCAGTTTAGAATCTAAGTCACCCAACCTGTATAAGAGGCTCCCAAGATGAAAAAGGAAAGATTTTTAAAAGTTATGTTTTCCTCAGAAATCAAAAAGGGTCTCATAGTGATACCATAATAGGTAATTCAGAAATTATTAAAATCACTCCTGCAAGCTATTAAATATGAGTGAAATTAAATGGGCAATATTTTTGGTAATCACAGAAGTGCACCAGAGGAATCACACATAGTCAGTTGGTGCATCTCACAAACTGCAACAACACAATATATGAAATGTACCAATCCTGTTGAGAAACTATTCCTGTTAAAGTTATATCTAAATGTTAAGTATATTCCCCAATATTTATAAATTGCCATTGTTTAATCATAATGGAAAATACCTATCCCAAAGGAAAGAAAAGTAAATTTCAAGCAAAGTACATTAGGGTGTAAAAAGAGGAAATTTTAAAATACTCAGTCCAGACACAACAACAGCTTCATAAGGGAGAATGCTTTAATATAAATATACACAATTGCCTCCTTAATAATTGTGAATTATTTCACAATTCTAATCTATCCTTTCAGTAATGCCTAAAGGAAAATGGCTTTAAAGACGTGAGAGGCAGCAGAGAAGAAAAAGAAATAGAAGGAATTCAAATCGGAAAAGAAGAAGTAAAGCTGTCACTGTTTGCAGATGACATGGTACTATACATAGAGAATACTAAAAGATGCTACCAGAAAACTACTAGAGCTAAGCAATAAATTTGGTAAAGTAGCAGGATACAAAATTAATGCACAGAAATCTCTCACATTCCTATACACTAATGATGAAAAATCTGAAAGAGAAATTAAGGAAACACTCCCATTTACCACTGCAAAAAAAATAATAAAATACCTAGGAATAAACCTACCTAAGGAGGCCAAAGACTGTATGCAGAAAACTATAAGACACTGATGAAAGAAATTAAAGATCATACAAATAGATGGAGACATATACCACATTTTAGGATTGGAAGAATCAACATTGTGAAAATGACTGTACTACCCAAAGCAATCTACAGATTCATTGCAACCCCTATAAAACTACCAATGGCATTTTTCACAGAACTAGAACAAAAAATTTCACAATTTGTATGGAAACACAAAAGACCCTGAATAGCCAAAGCAATCCTGAGAAAGAAAAACAGAGCTGGAGGAATCAGGCTCCTGGACTTCAGACTAAACTACAAAGCTACAGTAATCAAGACAGTACAGCACTAGCACAAAAACAGAAATATAGATCAATGGAACAGGACAGAAAGTCCAGAGATAAACCCACGAACATATGGTCAACTTTTTTTTTTTTAATTTATTTTATTTTTTATTTTTGGCTGCGTTGGGTCTCCGTTGCTGCACACAGGCTTCCTCTAGTTGTGGTGAGCAGGGGCTACTCTTCGTTGTGGTGCATGGGCTTCTCACTGCGGTGGCTTCTCTTGTTGCAGAGCACAGGCTCTAGGCGCGCGGGCTTCAGTAGTTGTGGCACACAGGCTCAGCGCAGGCTCAGTAGTTGTGGCACACAGGCTTAGCTGCTCCGCGGCATGTGGGATCTTCCTGGACCAGGGCTCAAACCCGTGTCTCCTGCATTGGCAGGCGGATTCTTAACCATTGCACCACCAGGGAAGCCCTGGTCACCTCATTTTTGATAAAGGAGGCAAGAATATAAAATGGAGAGAAGACAGCCTCTTCAATAATTGGTGCTGGGAAAACTGGACAGCCACATGTAAAAGAATGCAATTAGAACATTCCCTAGCACCATACACAAAAATAAGCTCAAAATGGATTAAAGACCTAAATGTAAAGCCAGACACTATAAAACTCTAGAGGAAAACATAGGCAGAAAACTCTATGACATAAACCACAGCAAGATTCTTTTTGACCCACCTCCTAGAGAAATGGAAATAAAACCAAAAATAAACAAATGGGACCTAATGAATCTTAAAAGCTTTTGCACAGCAAAGGAAACCATAAACAAGATGAAAAGACAACGCTCAGAAGGGGAGAAAATATTTGCAAACAAAGCAACTGACAAAGGATTAATCTCCAAAATATACAAGCAGCTCATGCACCTCAGTCTCAAAAAATCAAACAACCCAATCCAAAAATGGGCAGAAAACCTAAATAGACATTTCTCCAAAGAAGATATACAGGTTGCCAACAAACACATGAAAGGGTGCTCAACATCACACATCATTAGAGAAATGCAAATCAAAACTACAATGAGGTTATCACCTCACACCAGTCAGCATGGCCACCATCAAAAAATCTACAAACAATAAATGCTGGAGAGGGTGTGGATAAAAGGGAACCCTCTTGCACTGTTGGTGGGAATGTAAATTGATACAGCCACTATGGAGAACAGTATGGAGGTTCCTTAAAAAACTAAAAATAGAACTACCATATGACCCAGCAATCCCACTACTGGGCATATACCCTGAGAAAACCATAATTCAAAAAGAGTCATGTATGACAATGTTCATTGCAGCACTATTTACAATAGCCAGGACATGGAAACAACCTAAGTGTCCATCGACAGATGAATGGATAAAGATGTGGCACATATATACAACAGAATATTACTCAACCATAAAAAGAAACGAAATTGAGTTATTTGTAGTGAGGTGGATGGACTTAGAGTCTGTCATACAGAGTGAAGTTAAGTCAGAAAGAGAAAAATACCATATGCTGACACATATATATGGACTCAAAAAATAAAAAAAGGTTATGAAGAACCTAGGGGCAGGACAGGAATAAGGACACAGACATAGAGAATAGACTTGAGGATATGGGGAAGGGGAAGGGGAAGCTGTGACAAAGTGAGAGAGAGGCATGGACATATATACACTACGAAACGTAAAATAGATAGCTAGTGAGAAGCAGCCACAAAGCACAGGGAGATCAGCTCAGTGCTTTGTGACCACCTAGAGGGGTTGGATAGGGAGGGTGGGAGGGAGGGAGATGCAAGAGGGAAGAGATATGGGGATATATGTATATGTATAGGTGATCCACTTTGTTATAAAGCAGAAACTAACACACCATTGTAAAGTAATTATACTCCAATAAAGATGTTAAAAAATAATAAAAAAATAAAGACGTGAGAGGGTTAGAAGTATAAACTTAAGAAATTGCTGCTGAAACTATAACTGAATGAAGATTACAAAGGATAAGTAATCAATAACTATTAGGCGTAGTAACTGTTATTTATCATTATTGAAGGATCATTTGCCATTCCACTTTAAAGCACTTTAAAGAATACTAAAAAAGAAGTGTCTTTTATATGTAATTGGAGACATTTATGCAGCTCTCTGCCTACGTTTCAGTGTGGCAAGATCTGACTCACCTGTTGAAGACTGGGTTCTCCTTTTCTTTCAGGTAAATCTTGAGATATCAGGAGAGGCCCACTTTTCTCACAGCTCTCCTGGCTGATGAGCGTGTCCGCGTAGTTGGGCTGCGGGAAGATCACGTGACTCCCCCGCGAGTCCGCGGTGAGCGAGACCTCGTGGGAATAGGTCTGCAGGAAAGCCCGCACCCCGTCCACACCCACAAAGTGGGAGGCGGGCACGCTGGCCAACCTGCTGCCTGAAGCCTGGAGCAGATGCGACATGTGCCAGCGCCGCAGTCTGAGCGCCAGCAGCACGATGATAAATGCGAGGAAGACGCAGGAGACGGCGGCCACCGCCACCACTAGGTACAGCGTGAGGCCCGAGTCATTAGGGTCCGCTGAGGGCTTCAGGCTGCCTAGGTCAGTCAGGACGTCTGGGATGCTGTCAGCCACGACCACCGTGAGTGTGACTGTGGCGGAGAGAGGGGGCTGGCCGTGGTCCTGGACCGCCACCACCAGGCTCTGCTTGAGCGCGTCTCTGTCCAGCAGGGCCCGCGCTGTGCGCACCTCCCCCGTGTGCAGCCCCACCGCGAAGAGTCCCGGCTCGCTGGCCTTGAGCAGGCGGTAGGACAGCCAGGCGTTCTGGCCCGAGTCTCTGTCCACAGCCACTACCTTGGTCACCAGGTAGCCAGGCTCTGCGGAGCGGGGTGCCAGCTCCACACCCGTGGAACCGTCAGTGGGGAGGGCGGGGTACAGAATCTCAGGTGTGTTGTCGTTCTGGTCCAGCACGAATATGGTCAGAGACACGTTGCTGCTGAGTGGAGGGTCCCCGCTGTCGCTGGCTGTCACAAGTAGCTGCAGGTCTCTAACCTGTTCATAGTCAAAGGAGCGCAGAGCATACAATACACCTGTGTCAGAGTTGATAGAGACATAGGAGGAGAGAGGCGCCTCCTGCAGCTTGTCCTCAGCCAGAGAGTAAGTGACCATTGAGTTCTCGTTACTGTCAGGGTCATGGGCGGTCACAGAGAAGATAGAAGCTCCCCTAGGATTGTTTTCTGGAATGTAGGCCAAGTAGGAAGCTTGAGGGAAGGCAGGTGGGTTGTCATTGACGTCTGCCACGTTCAGTGAGATGTGTGTTTCTGTAGACAATGGTGGAGTTCCGTGGTCAGTGGCAGTTACAGTGATGTTATATTCTGAGACTTCTTCCCTATCCAGAGTCCTGTGTGTCAACAACCGATGATAATTTCCAAAGGTCTTTTCAAGTGTGAATGGCAGATTATCTGGAATAGAACATGTGACAAGGCCATTCTCTCCTGAATCACTGTCATGCACATTGAAAAGTGCAATTACTGTGCCTGGGGAAGAAGTTTCTTGAATAGAGCTGGTGAGAGATGTAACTGTGACTTCTGGGGCATTGTCATTTACATCCAGAATTGTCACCAGTACCTTACTTCTGGCTCGGAGACCAGGCCCATCATGGGCTTCTACATCTATATCATAGAACCCAGAGTCCTCATAATCCAGATCCCCCAATACTGTTATGTCCCCAGTGAGAGAATTCAAGTGGAATAGCTGGGATATTTTATCTCTTACTTTCCGGAAAGAATATGTGACTTCTCCATTGGCTCCTTCATCTGTATCAGTGGCTTTTACTGTGAGTAGCCTGGAGCCCACCGGCACGTTCTCCTGCACACTCACATGGTACTCGGGCTGAGTGAATACTGGGGCATTGTCGTTGGTATCCACAAGTGTTACATGAATCCTGGCAGTGCCAGAGTGAACCCGGTCGCCTCCGTCGAAGGCGGTGAGAACGAGATGGTGAACCGCCTCTTCCTCGCGGTCCAGGGCGCGCTCCAGCACGAGCTCAGGGTACTTAATCCCATCAGCTCCTCTTTGCACATCCAGGGAGAAGTGACCATTCGAGCTGAGCTGGTAACCCTGCAGAGAGTTTATCCCTATATCCGGATCAAAAGCTTCAGGAAGAGGAAATCTTGTCCCAGGAATTTCACTTTCAGCTACTTTTATTTCCCTTTGCTCTGCCCCAAAGTTGGGCGCGTTATCATTAACATCGATTATTTCCACTTCTACTCCAAAAATCTTCACGTTGTCCTCTAGGAGAATCTCCAGGTTTACTACACACTTTGGAGATCTGTCACAGAGCTCCTCCCGGTCTATCCTGCCCGCAGTGACCAAGCTGCCGCTTCGCAGGTTCAGAGCAAAAAGCTGCGTCCTACCTCTGGAGACGATGCGGACTCCGCGCTCCGCCAGCTCCCAGGGCTCCAGCCCCAGGTCCTTGGCGATGTTGCCCACGAAGGAGCCGTTCTCCAGCTCCTCAGGCACCGAGTGGAGGATATGTTCGGCCCGGATTTCCCACAGGGCCCCCAAGAGAACGCAGATCCCGATCAGCCGGCTGCAGTCTGGGCAATAAGGAGAAGCCGCCATTATAGCCCCGCGGCGGAATAGCTTGCTCGTGGGTGTTCCCTTGGTGGAGGCCTGAGGATTCCAAGGACCTTCAGGGTCCAAGATAATGTGCTTTCACCGTTGGATGCTGGCGCTCTCGGGGGTCCAGTTCGAAGCTTTCTAAAGCCCCAGAGCTAGTGCTTTGTAATGCAGAAATCTTGTGGTTTGTATTAATTTCCTGGTTCTTTTCTTCCCCCGATTGGTGAACAGCGACACTCAGAGTCCTAACCTGTTACTGCAGTCTATTCTTGGTAAATAAAGAATCACTTGCGTACACCATTTCTTTGCCCTATTCTATTTTTCCCCAAAATGATAAAAGTCAAACACCTGCTGTTCAATTTGCAATGAAAATCCAGAAGTGATCCAAAGATTCCTGTACAATAAGACTTATAAAATAATTTATTTTCTCAGAGACAATTTTTTTTTTGGTAAGAATTTTTCTACCTCTTTTTAAGTTTTTGCATTATTTATTCTCATAGCCCAATTTCACTACTGTGTATTGCATAAGGGACATATTTATCCCTCCCAGGAACAAGGTTATACTTGAAGACTGAAAGAATAAATGGATGAAAAGACAGGTCTGGGCTCCAGTCCCAACCTATGCAGAAACAAGTATTCTCACATGGGTTGACCCTTTAGAATCTGGGGCAAATTTTCAATTCCCTTGTAAGAAAATATCTACTGTTCAAAGAGTTAGCCTTACCCCTGTGCAAATGGGCTTGGCAAATACGATAATAGGTTTGGGAAGGACATTTGCTCATTAATTTTATATAAGAAGATTCTAGGCCACAGGTTATATCTGTGATGATCATGTTCACAGTGAGTTCTCACTCTAGAACAGCACCTCTCCTAGAGTATACACTGAAATAGTTTTTCAATGCTTAACGAATGAGTCATTAATGCAGCTGCAAAACCTAAAACAATGGGTAAATGACCTTAAAAGGAAATAATAAAGGTAAGAAGACAGAAAAGTTAAACTGAAGCACTGTGAAGAGGAAATGGTGTTTCAGTGATCATTTCCACATTAGGACACATCCAGAAGGTATTATCTTACTTTTATTTATAAGTTTACTTTAGTTTTGATTTTAGAAATAACCAGTAAAAGGAACTATTTTAGTAATTGTATATAATCATTGCATGTTTCATAGTTTTCTTATTCATGAATACTTAATTTACTAATGTGAGAAAACTTGAAATAAAGCAGCAAGGTCTCAGTTCTTTAGATTATTACCCACATAATAATTAGTTTCTAGAAATTACTCATAAATTTTGACCAGACACAAAAGTCCATTAACTATTCAGAGTTTTAAAATTCTCTGACTTTGGAGAATAGATTAAAAGTATTTTCCACAATCCTCAAAAGACTCACAAATTGCTGGGGATTGGGAGGTAAAATAAAATATTTTGAAAAAATTTGACTCACTTCTCAGAAACCTATACTAAAAAAAGTAATATAGAAAAGGCTCTGCATACAAAAAATGTTTGTTACATTCCTTACTACACTAGTGACAAAGTAGAAAGGGTATAAAAATAAATTATTTAAGAATGGTCAAGAAAATTATTCTTGACAGATTTTGAAGTGGGAAAAAAGACACAAATTTAGTGATTCAAATGTAAAACCTGGCAGTCTTTGCTGCACGTGATAAGGCAAAAAAGTGCTAAGAGAATTATTGGAAGGCTATATTAAAATACACATCGCAGAAAAAAAGATAAACAACTAGAATGTATTTGATGAAGATGAACATTAACTTAGGCAGAAAGAACTGTCAATACATTTACAATACATTTACACATCAACTAATTAAGGACAGTTCTATTACTAAGGGTGGTGACATCCAAGAGAAAGCTATCTTTAGCAGGATTTGTTGACCATATAGAAATGCCAAGAGTGCAAACTGAGTAGTAATTAGGTAACTGCCAAGACTACTGAGCAATCAAGGGACCAATCTCCACCCATCCTATATACCTCCTCTCCCACTACCACCACTAGAACAATGAACAAGGACCGAAAATAATGATGCACTGTCGAGAATAAAATACAATAATAAAATTTAAGTAAGTCTGCAAAAACTCACGTGATGGGAAAAAGAGGAATCATGAGAGATTTGGGAGTCTTCATTACTGGCACATATACCCATAGAAGGATCTTCACCTAGGAGATCCGGAGGGGTAGCTGTTTCTTGGGTCACGTTGTGAAAATTAAATTTCACAATTTAAATCGCACAATTGAATGCGAGGCAACACACAGATTGTAGGAATAGAGCAATGTTCCCTCACTGTAGTTGGGGGGAACCCTCCGTCCAGACTTGGAACTCAGACCAGGCTTAAAGCAGCTCCAGGCAGCGGGGCTGGAGGAGCATCGAAGGTGTAGGGCGACCGCCAGAATCACTGCCAGGAGGAAAAGCACTGAGATCAAGGCCAAGGTCACCACCAGCTAACACTGCAGCTCAGCTTGGGGGTCAGTGGGCTCAGAGTGGTCACTGCGGTCCGGCAGCGCCTCCTGCAGGCTGTCCGCGAAAACCAGGAGCAGCGTGGCGGTGGCCGAGAGGGGCGGCTGTCCCGCATCGCGCACAGCAACCAGCAGGCGCTGGCGGGCCGCGTCCCTGTCGCCCAGGGCCCGCGCCGTGCGCACCTCGCCCGTGCGCAGCCCCACGCTGAAAAGTCCGGGCTCGCTGGCCTGCAGCACGTGGTAGGACAGCCAGGCGTTGTGTCCAGAGTCGGCGTCCACCGCCACCACCTTGGTGACCAGGTAGCCGGGCTGCGCGGCGCGCGGCACCGTGTCGAAGAGCGCCGAACCGTCGGGCCCCAGCGCCGGGTACAGCACCCTGGGCGCGTTGTCGTTGCGGTCGCCCACCAGCACGCGCAGGCTCACGTTGGCGCTGAGCGCGGGCGAGCCGTGGTCGCGGGCCTGCAGCGTCAGCTCGAAGGCGCGCAGCTGCTCGTGGTCGAAGGCGCGCTGCGCGAACACCACGTCGCTCTGTGCGCTCACGGACACGTAGGACGACAGCGCGCGCGGCTCCAGGTCGCTGGCCAGGATGGAGTAGGAGACTTGGCCGTTGGGCCCCAAGTCTGGATCTGAAGCGCTAACTTGGGCGGTGGAGGCTCCAGGCGGGTTGTTTTCTGCCACGTGGACCACGTAGGAGGCCTGGTGGAAAACTGGAGCGTTGTCGTTGACATCGCGGATGTGTAGGGTGATGCTTGTACTGTAGGAGAGGGGCGGCTTGCCCTTGTCGGTGGCTGTGAAGGTAACATTGTACTCTGCCCTCTGCTCTCGGTCTAGGGCACCGTCAATCACTAGCTTGTAATAATTCTTGGAGGTGAATTCTAATTTGAAGGGAACTCCTTCCTGAATATAGCATGCCACCATATCATTTTGCCCAGAATCCTGGTCTCGGACTTTAATGAGGGCTATTATGGTTCCAAGGTCTGAGCCCTCGGGAATCTGGCTAGAGAAGGACATTAATGTCACCTCTGCACTCACACTGAAAAACTCCTCTGCACTAATCCGCAGTTTTCGAGCTGGCAACTCCTGGACCCTGAGCCTCAGATTCTTGGCCAGGTTCCCCACCCTTGAGCCCTTGGCCAGCTCCTCTGAAATCGAGTACTGGATCTCCTGGGAGATTGCCCTCCACAACAAAGACAGCAGGAAGAGAAGCAGTACCTGACTTCTCATTGTTTCAGCTTTTCTGGAGCTCCTAAGCATTTCTTGAACTCTCTGGGAAGCTGCTCTTCAAGATGTCTCTGGGATGTTTAAAAAAATCAATGACAGCTCCCTGGACTTTTGAGATTTGAGGGTAGGACTTATTTGTTAGGCGCTTGAGGTTGCACAGGAGGTGCGTTTGCGTTCTGATGTGCACAGGACAAAGCAGAAAAACACTCTGCCCATCACTCCTGCAGAAATGAGAACCCTTATGTTCCCTTTGGTCAACAGTAGCACCCAGAGGTTGTCTGAGAAAACTGCATATTGCCCAACTATTTATTCCTCAAACGGTAAGCTCTTGAACCTATATATCTTGCCTTTTTATTTGTTGGAAAGAACAAACTATTCAAATTTTCCCTTTAAATCTGATATTTTCTAGCTTTTCATAATCTTTGAAGTATTGCCACCATTTTATTCTTCTTTCTTCATTAAATATTTTTCATAAGGCATACAGCTTTTTTTTTTCAGTTTTGGGGGCAGAAATATCTTTAGTGATTCCACTGTATTTATAAACACTGGCATGGCTAGTATGGATGTAACCAATTAGGTTACTGGTAGTGGATAAAAGGTCTAATCTTTGCAAAAAAAGGAGTGAGTCAAAGCCCTAGACTTATTTTAATATATTGCTCATCATTTTAAAACATAGGTAATCTTCCCATTACGTACAGAGGAGCCTGATATTTTGTTAAAAAGACCAATCTAAGAACAAGAGACCAATTTGAGCACACACATGTTTTTATAAAACTAAATCCTGTGTAAGCTTATTTATTTCTTTGAAATCAGTGCTTCTTTACTATATGACTGTATACACAAATACTCCTTAATGCCAATTCTCAGCTCCAGTAAATTTATACCATTAATAAGTGTAATGAGTTTGATTTGACCACTGGTAAATCTTGGAGAGGAAGTGAGAGTTCTTAGACACTCCATTTTGAAACTTACCTGTAATCCTTGAACCAGTCTTGGGTAACTAAAACAAACACCTTTATTTCAAATGCACTACCGAATTAAATACAAACTCAACAATTTATTCTATTATTTTGCAGTGCTAATCAATACCCCTCTTACATTCCAGTCAAGACAGATTATTATCTGTTTTCTGAAGACATCATTTTCCTTGTTTTCCCTACTTCATGCCTTTATACTTTCTGTTCCTTTTATTATAAACCCTCCTCCCTTTTTATTGTAATGAAGTCTTGCCTATCCTTCAAAAATCCTTTTTAGTTAAAATGGGATGTCTGAGACTTCTTATAATCCATACAAGTAGATGCCTTTGTACTCTGTGCATTTTCCCAGGGTATATGTAGGCTATACTATTTTTTAAAAAATTAATTTATTTATTTTTGGATGCATTGGGTCTTCATTGCTGTGTGCGGGCTTTCTCTAGTTGTGGAGAGTGTGGGCTACTCTACGCCGCGGTGCGTGGGCTTCTCATTGAGGAGCATGGTCTCTAGAGTGCAGGCTCAGTAGTGGCACCAGGCTTAGTTGTCCGTGGCATGTGGGATCTTCCCGGACCAGGGCTCGAACCCGTGTCCCCTCCATTGGCAGGCAGATTCTTAACGACTGAGCCACCTAGGCTATGTTTTATATGAAATTCTTAGAAAATTCTCTTTGAACATATAAAGTTCCCCTGACCCGAGCCATTTAATTTTTTTTCTCATTACAAGGAAAGGTATATTAATATTGTAAAGATTTTTCCTAAAAAATATTCCAAAGGTAATGTGCCTTTTTTCTGTGATGCATTTGTAGGCTTGGGTGAGAATATACACTTCTCTGCTTTCAGTTATTTCGTTCAGGTCCTTTTGTCTCACACTTTTGACTGTACCTTTTCCTAACACACTGAAGGAGAGCTGTATTCCTTTGTTTGAGACCTAATGAAATCTATTTTGGCCTAATTTTGGATGACTCTCTGGTGCGATTTTATGGGTGAAATTAATTTCATAAATTTCAAAATGGGCCAACAATTTCTAGCCCAAGAAAGTTGTAGGATTCCCATTCCATTGTTGAAGTGGATGGTCTGGAAACCTCTCATAGAGGTTAAGACATATCTCCTAACATTTTAAAATCCTTCCCAAAGGACAAGACCTGCCACTCCAAGGCTCATAACAGTTTAGGCAATTGAGCTTCCCACCTTCAGAGAAAAGGCTGAAATCCATATGGATACACACACACACACACACACTTTAAGTATACAAAGTAGGGACTACATGCCAGGTAAAAGAATTGACCAACATCTATGTTTTTTACCCTATCATTTTTATGTCATCAGGATGAAATGAGTTTGGTCTGTCTTGGAAGGAGTTAAGCATCATATTATTATAGCCTAAAATACCATATATATATGTGTTTATATATATATAATATATATTATATATATATATGCTTTATATATATATATATATATATATGCCTGTTTACCAGGATAGACTAGGTAGGTTGAAGTGACAAACTTCATCACAGTGATTTAAAATGAAAAAAGTCTACTTATCGCAGGTATACAGATCAATGTTGAGTCAACCACAGGGCTCTTCTGTCACTGTAGTTATTCAAGGACCCAGATAGATGGCACAGTCACAAGTTCAACGAGTAAGTTAGAAATCTGGTAATTTTTACAATGGCAACTAGAACTTCGTTTGGGAAGAAATTCACATACTTCCATTTACAATGTATTGGTCAGAACTATTTACTAGGCCCACTCAGCCATACCAGATCAGCAAGTGCAGCCCCACCACAATCCCAGAAGAAGAGAGGAACATATATTTAAACAAAAGAATCAATGACGACCACATTGCTTTATTTTCAAATAAATGTGTGTTAAAGCTTTATAATAACCACACTGGCATAACTGTTCTTTATAATGTTCAAAAAGAAATAAGCTCACCTGAATTTGCTTGGCATCTCCTTTCATTTCAAGTAAATCTTGAGATATCAGGAGAGGCTCGCTTTTCTCACAGCTCTCCTGGCTGATGAGCGTGTCCGCGTAGTTGGGCTGTGGGAAGATCAAGTGACTCCTCCGCGAGTCCCTGGTGAGCGAGACCTCCTGGGAATAGGTCTGCAGGAAAGCTCGCACCCCGTCCATGCCCACAAAATGAGAGACAGGTACGCCCGCTGGTACACCTCCCGAAGCTTGCAGCACATGCGGTCTGTGCCAGCACTGCAGTCTGAGCGCCAGCAGCACGACGACAAAGGCCAGGAAGACGCAGGACACTACGGCCACTGCCACCACCAGGTACAGTGTGAGGCCTGAGTCGTCAGGGTCTGCTGAGGGCTTGAGGCTTCCCAATTCGGCCAGGACGTCTGGGATGCTGTCAGCTACTGCCACTGTGAGAGTGACTGTGGCAGAGAGAGGGGGCTGGCCGTGGTCCTGGACGGCCACCACCAGGCTCTGCTTGAGCGCGTCTCTGTCCAGCAGGGCCCGTGCTGTGCGCACCTCGCCCGTGTGCAGCCCCACCGCGAAGAGTCCCGGCTCGCTGGCCTTGAGGAGGCGGTAGGAAAGCCAGGCGTTCTGGCCTGAGTCTCTGTCCACAGCTACCACCTTGGTCACCAGGTAGCCGGGCTCTGCAGAGCGGGGTGCCAGCTCTACACCCGTGGAACCATCGGTGGGGAGGGTGGGGTATAGGATTTCAGGTGTATTGTCATTCTGGTCCAGCACGAGTATGCTTAGAGACACGTTGCTGCTGAGTGGAGGGTCCCCGCTGTCACTGGCTGTCACCAATAGTTTCAGGTCTCTAACCTGCTCATAGTCGAAGGAGCACAAGGCATACAGGACTCCGGTGTCCGAGTTTATGGAGATGTAGGTGGAGAGAGGTGCCCCCTGGAAGGCATCCTCAGTCAGTGCATAGGTGATGTGGGCGTTCTCGATGCTGTCAGGGTCCTGGGCGGTCACAGAGAAGATGGAGGCTCCCCTGGGGTTGTTTTCAGGAATGTAGGCAGAATAGGAGGCATGAGTGAAAGCAGGTGGGTTGTCATTGATATCCGCCACATGCAGGGTGATGTGTGTGTCTGTGGACAGCGGCGGACTTCCCCAATCTGTAGCTCTCAGAGTGATGTTATATTCGGACACCTGTTCACGGTCCAGGCATCTGGCTGTCACTAAGCGGTAATATCGGTTTATTGATTTTTCTAAATTAAATGGCATATTTCCCAGAACAAAAACTGTGACTTGCCCATTTTGCCCCGAATCCCGATCATGCACGTTGATAAGGGCAATTTCCCTTCCAGCAGTAGCCTCTTCTGGGACTGATCCTGTGAGAGAAGTAATCGTAATTTCCGGGGCATTGTCATTCACATCCAGAACTGTGACCAGAATCTTAGCTCTTGAAAGGAGACCTAGTCCATCTTGTGCTTCAATTTTAATTTCATAGAAAGTAGCATCCTCATAATCTAGGCTTTGTGATATTGATAAATCCCCAGTCACTGAGTTGAGATTAAAAATCTGAGCGATTCTCCCAGGCATTTTATCTAGTACATAGGATACTTGAGCATTAAATCCCTCGTCAGGGTCAGTGGCATTCACCGTGAGCAGCCAGGTGCCTACCGGCAAGTTCTCCTGAACACTTACTCGATACTCAGGCTGAGTAAATACTGGTGGATTGTCATTTGCATCCAGCACTATCACTTGGATGCTCAAGTTGCTAGAATGAACAGGGTCGCCACCATCAGAAGCAGTTAGGACAAGCTGGTGAACTTTCTTTTCCTCACGGTCAAGAGCCTGCTGCAGCACCAGCTCTGGGTACTTGGCCCCATCAGAGACACTCTTCACAGCCAGGGAGAAGTAGTCATTGGGGCTGAGCTGATAGTTCAGCAGAGAGTTCATGCTCACATCTGGGTCAAATGCAGTCTTAAGTGGAAATCGAGTTCCTGGAACCGTTAGTTCACCAATTTTTATTTCCAATTCCTCCGTTAGAAAATCAGGAGCATTGTCATTAAGGTCTTTAATTTCTATCTCTACTTCAAAAATTTTCAATTTGTCTTCAACCAGGATGTTAAAACTCACCAGACACCGCGCGCTCTGAGCGCAGAGCTCCTCCCGGTCTATCCTGCCCGCAGTGACCAAGCTGCCGCTTCGCGGGTTCAGAGCAAAGAGCTGCGTCCTACCTCTGGAGACGATGCGGACTCCCCGCTCCGCCAGCTCCTGGGGCTCCAGCTCCAGGTCCTTGGCGATGTTGCCCACGAAGGAGCCTTTCTCCAGCTCCTCTGGCACCGAATAGCGGATCTGCCCGCATCCGGTCTTGCACAGCGTCCCCAGAAGCGCGTACAGCAGGGCCAGTCCTCCGCCATTTCTGAATCTCAGGTAATTGGTCATTTCCTTTTTGGTGAATTATTCTCTCTGAATTGGGTACCAATTTCTCACGACGGACTTCAGTCTTATTTTCTCAAGGAACTAACCCTTTCGTGGGCCTAATTTATAGGTTACGGAGCTGGCTGACTGAAAGGGTGAGCTTTGGAGCAGCCTCGGATCTTGTAAATGTGATTTGCTGGTTCTTTGCTCTTTGGAAACAAGGAAATGGATTAGCTCTTCAGTGGCGTTTTCCTCCTTGAGTGGTGAACAGCGACGCTCAGAGGCATAACCGTTTACTGCACCCTCTTAGACAAACCCAAGCCAGACTTTCTGTTTCTCAGCACCTGAAATTCTTTTTATCAGAGGTAATGGGATCAGTTTTTATTTCACATAACTGAATCGCTATATGTTAAAGGATGTGACTTCAAGTTATCTTCCTTGGGAAGCCATGAGCTAATCTTAAGATCATTAATATTGCTTCAAACATGCTGAAGTTACTGTTTTGAAATGTTCAAAGTTTAAGAACCTCACAGAAATATCAGCCATATTTATAGGCATGCCTCTTGAAATTTGTCCTTGAAAGCCTGACATCTTGGTTTCAATATTCTCCATTTAACCCATTCATTAAACACACATATAATTAAGTGTACGACAAAACCTAGGGATTTAAGGTGAACAATATGAACACAGCCACTTCCTTCACAGAGTTACAAGGATATAAAAGCAAACAAGGAATTACAGTGCATTGAGATAACTACCATAATGGGAGAAGCCAAGGGCAATGGGAGGGCCTCCAACCTGGCCTTGGAAGTTAGCAAAGGCTTCCCCAAGAAACATGAGAGGAGTGGATCAGGGATAAGGCCTGGATGTGAGAGAGGAGAGCATGGGAGTGCCTAGATGTGAGAGAGAAACCACAGAACTTCAGGGTACTGAAAGTAGTCCACTTTGCCTAAATCTAGAGTATGAAGATGTTTTTAAGGACTGAAAAACTGAAACTAGTAGAGATAAAGTTTTGTTTTATATGCCAGAAACCCTTTTCCTGTATTTGTTTTCCTCTCCAAGCACAGAAATAGGAATTCATTTGTCACTTCAATCATGATGCATTATATACCTATGTATAAGTCATTTATTTTCAGGAAGCGTTACTATAAGCACTAGAAGGAACTTTTTATTCAATTTTCATCAGTTCATAGTTTTATTTACCTGCAAAATGTTATGACATATTATTCCACAGTGAGTTCCAACTTTATCTCAAAGAATATTACATAACAGTAGTAAGACAATGGAATGCATTGTTTCAGATCAATTCTCCCTCCAATGCCCTTAAACAATAAAGAATCACAGCACCTTAAAGAATGACAATACCATTATATACATGACTTAGTACATGATTATTTCCACATAAAAGATGATCCCATTTATATATTAGTATAATTTTTGTTCTCTGTTATTAAATATATAACTAACATACTAAAAGCCAACATGGGAAGAGGAATGGGGAAGGTAAACTTGGTTGTAAGGGGGACTTATGTTGGTTGAGGAATTGGAAACATTTTTAACAGCTGCTGTGAGTAGGAAATTTTGAGAAGAGAAATGTAAAAGGAGAACCTTTAGGGGCAATAATTTGATATGGTCTCTGAATCCCTTGAGGATATATATTATTTTTAAAGATAAGAAGGCAATGTGGTTTGCACATATGAGAAAAAATAAAAGTAACGGCGGGGGAGGGGGGGAACATCCCTGCCGGCGCAGTGGTTAAGAATACACCTGCTAATGCAGGGACACGGTTTGAGCCCTGGTCTGGAAAGATTCCACATGCCATGGAGCAACTAAGCCTGTATGTCACAACTACTGAGCCTGCGCTCTAGAGCCCGCAAGCCACAACTACTGAAGCCCGTGCACCTAGAGCCCATGCTCTGCAACAGGTGAAGCCATCGCAATGAGAAGCCCACGCACCACAATGAAGAGTAGCCCCTGCTTGCTGCAACTAGAGAAAGCTCACGTGCAGCAACGAAGACCCAACGTAGCCAAAAATAAACAAATAAATAAATAAATTTTTTTAAAAAAGTAACACGGAATAGAAACATCTTTACTGTTATACAAACCATGTATTATAGAGCAAATGATAACTCAGTCACTTCTTAAAGGAACACAGAGCTACTTTAGAGGCTAATGAGATTTTTAACTAAACAGAGATTCCATGACATACCCTCCTGAAACACGGTGAAGTATATATATTTCTAAATTTGCATCTTTTAATAGGGAAGATCATGCAAATCAAGAAAAATGAAGAATCTCACTGCCAAACTGAAGAAAAAATATTAAGACTGAGTGAGAAGAAAACAACCAACTAAAGTATTTCACTATTCATAAACAAATATAAATAAACATAAAAGCCTTAAATTTTAAAGGAGGGAGGCAACTGGGGAAACATAAAAGTCAACATTTATATTTCTAAGAAGGAAAGAATTGTTGATCCAGGTGCATGAGATGGTTTCCTCAGGGACGAGAAAGAAGTATGAGAAGCCAGACACGCCAGTTCCTCAGGCAGTGGTCTTTTGATAACCTAAATATCACCTTCACTTACTAACTCCTGATTTATAATCATGACGCAATGATTCTAGCTCCTCTTCCTGTTTACACTGTGTGAACACTTAGAACTAGAAAGAAATAATTCACCAGGACTAATTTCCTAAAAATTGAATATATCCGCAAAGAAATATGGGAAATAGAAAAGGTATGGTAAACTGTGGAGACAGCTAAGTAATTAGGTAAATTTATTTCTTTTAGCAAAGTAGCTCACAGGTATATTGCGAAGAGAATTTACCTGAGAAAAAGTTTCTTCTTTGTCTTCAGGTATAAGTTGAGGTTCTGAAAGAAAATCCTTTTTCTCACAGCTCTCCTGGCTGATGAGCGTGTCCGCGTAGTTGGGCTGCGGGAAGATCACATGACTCCCCCGCGAGTCCGCGGTGAGCCAGGCCTCGTGGGAATAGGCCTGCAGGAAAGCCCGCACCCCGTCCACGCCCACAAAGTGAGAGGCGGGCACACCCGCTAACCCGCCTCCTGAAGCCTGGAGCAGGCGCGACGTGTGCCAGCGCCTCAGCCTGAGCGCCAGCAGCACAATGACAAAGGCGAGGAAGACACAGGAGACCGCAGCCACCGCCACCACCAGGTAGAGTGTGAGACCTGAGTCGTCGGGGTTGATATAGGTCCTGATGCTGCCCAAGTCAGCCAGGGCCTCGGGGATGCTGTCCGCCACTGCCACGGTGAGCGTGACCGTGGCCGAAAGAGGGGGCTGGCCGTGGTCCTGGACCGCCACCACCAGGCTCTGCTTGAGCGCGTCTCTGTCCAGCAGGGCCCGCGCTGTGCGCACCTCGCCCGTGTGCAGCCCCACCGAGAAGAGTCCCGGCTCGCTGGCCTTGAGCAGGCGGTAGGACAGCCAGGCGTTCTGGCCTGAGTCTCTGTCCACAGCCACCACCTTGGTCACCAGGTAGCCGGGCTCTGCAGAGCGGGGTGCCAGCTCTACACCCGTGGAACCGTCGGTAGGGAGGGCGGGGTACAGAATTTCCGGCACGTTGTCGTTCTGGTCCAGCACGAATATGCTCAGTGACACGTTGCTGCTGAGCGGTGGCTTCCCACTGTCATGCGCTGTCACCCACAACTGCAGTTCATGGAATTGCTCATAGTCAAAGGAACGCAGCGCGTAGAGGATGCCAGTGTCAGAGTTGATGGAGATGTAGGAGGACAGAGGTGCCCCCTGAATGATGTCCTCAGCTAACTTATAGGTTACATGGGCGTTGTCATCACTGTCAGGGTCATGCGCCATCATGGAAAAGATGGAGGCACCTCTGGGGTTGTTTTCTGGAATGTAGGCAGAGTAGGAGGTGTGGGGAAATGTGGGAGGGTTGTCGTTGATGTCTGTCACCTGCAGTAAAATGTGAGCATCTGTGGACAGAGATGGGTTCCCTCCATCTGTAGCGATCACAGTGATGTTGTATAAAGAAAACTGTTCCCTGTCAAGGACTCTGGTTGTAACCAGTCGGTGGTAATTGTCCACTGACCTTTCTAATTTGAAAGGAAGGTTCTCCGGGAGTGAACATGTGATAAATGCATTCTGCCCAGAGTCTCTGTCATGTACATTGAAAAGTGCAATTATGGTTCCTGGAGGAGAGTCTTCAGGAACTGAGCTGGCAGAAGACGTCATGTAAAATTCTGGGGGATTGTCATTTACGTCGAGAACAGTGACAATGACCTTCGTTCTGGTCAGAAGGCCTGGACCATCCTGAGCTTCAATATCAATTTCATGGAATTTGGCATCCTCATAATCTAGGCTTTTTGTGATCGTTATTTCTCCAGATGATGACTTAAGCTCAAATACCTCTGAGGTTTCTTCAGGATTTTTCTCCAGAAAATATGCCACTTGAGCGTTGTATCCCTCATCTGCATCAGTGGCGGTCACTGTGAGTATCTGGGTGCCTACGGGCGTATTCTCTGGAACATTTACATGGTACTCGGGCTGTGTAAAAACAGGCGCGTTGTCGTTCGCATCCAGGACCATCACGCGGATGCGGGAGGTGCCAGATCTGATAGGGTCGCCCCCGTCCAAAGCCACAAGAACGAGATGGTGAACGGCCTCTTCCTCACGGTCAAGGGCACGTTCCAGCACCAGCTCCGGATACTTATTCCCATCTTTTCCGCTTCGCACGTCCAGGGAGAAGTGGTCATCTGAATTAAGTTCGTACCTTTGGAGGGTGTTCTCTCCGACGTCTGCATCATGCGAGCTCTTCAGAGGGATCCGGAATCCTGGCATAGTCATTTCACTGATTTTTAGCTCCAGTTCCTCTACTACAAAGCGAGGGGCATTATCGTTAATATCTGTTATTTCCACCTCTACTGAATAAATACTCAATTTATCTTCCCGGAGTATGTTGAAACTCAGCAGACACCGCGCGCTCTGAGCGCAGAGCTCCTCCCGGTCTATCCTGCCTGCGGTGACCAAGCTGCCGCTTCGCGGGTTCAGAGCAAAGAGCTGCGTCCTACCTCTGGAGACGATGCGGACTCCGCGCTCCGCCAACTCCTGAGGCTCCAGTCCCAAGTCCTTAGCGATGTTGCCCACGAATGAGCCCTTTTCGATCTCTTCTGGCACAGAATAGCGCATCTGCCCAGCTCCAGCCTCCCATAGGGTCGCCAAAAGAAGGCACAGCAGGACAAGCCTTCCGCGGTTTGGCAACTTTAGCAGAGCCGCCATTTCTTGAGCTGCAGTCTTTTCTCCCAGGCAACTTCCAGCATCCAGGCCGGGATTCCAATCTTTATTCCTCAGGGTCTGATGTGACTAGCATTCACGGGACCCAGGTAACTGTGGAGAGAAGTAGTGGGCTGCTGGACTTAATTTTTTTTGCCGTCCCGAAGCTTGCGGGCCAAACGCCCAGCCTTTTGTGTTATGCGAGCCGTAATGTTGGAGTGGATGTCTCACAGGCTTACTTCTTAGGTGGTCAACAGCGACGCCCAGAGGCCTAAGTAATTTCTGCACTCTTTCAGGTAAACCCAAGTTATTATTTGTTGCCCCTGTGACTTTCAAGTTGTTTTGAAGAATCTTACAGTTCTAAGATACCTTAGAAGTAGCTCTTTCAAGTCAGGAGTCTTTTTTTCAGAATGAATAAGAATGGTGTGAATGAATGTGACCTTGATAGTAGTTGCAAGGAGAGTATCATTGAATGTTGGAGGCATTAATCAAGGCAGCCTCTGCCCTTACGCCAAACATCTTCAACCTCTTATTTTATATTCAGAGACAATAAGATTAATCTAAAAATATTAGCTACATTATATTCTAATGTTATATATTTTAAATTTCTGTGCTTAATGGCTTAGTATTGAACTTCAAAACCTGTATTTTCCCCCCAAAATCTGTATTTAAATTATTGAATTTTCGGACATTTAATTGGGTGACTACCCAATTAAGGCCTGACACTTTGCCTGATTGATGCTGGAGATAGAAATGGTGCACCTGACGAATACAGTCCCTGTTCTCAGGAAGCTTACAGGATAAGGGAGGACATAGTAAAGTACACAGAGTATTTTAATAGAGTATGGTAACTGCTATGATGGTTGGAAACCCTGGGCAATGGGAGAATACATAGGAAGGGTATCCAGCCTAGATTTGGGGGTCAGGAAAGACTTTTCCAGAACAAGATTGAAGCTGGATCCTAAAGGGTATGACTGGATCAAGAAAGAGGCTGGAGTAGTGTTCTAGAACCTTAGTACAAATTCTTGGAGGTGAGAGGCAGCACGAACATTAAGGAAACTGAAGGTGGTTTGTTCCTTGTTCTTTTCAAGATTGTTAGGGCTACTTGAGGTCCCCTGACATTCCATATGAATTTTAGGATGGATTTTTTTCTATTTATACAAAAAAAGGCATTGGGATTTTGATAGGGATTGCACTGAATCTGTAGATTGCTTTGGGTAGCTCTATAAGTTTTTGATAGATACTCTTTATCAGGTTAAGGACGTTTCCTTCAATTTCCAGTTTGCTAAAAGATTTTAATCATGTGTTGAATGTTCTCAAGACCTTTATTATGCCTCTATTGAAATGAACATATGGCTTTTTATCTTCAATCCCCTAATATGAAGTTTTATATTATTAGATTTTCTTATATTGAAATATTCTTGCATCCCTAAGTAATAAACCCCATTTAGTCGTAAGCTATAAATATTACATATATAGTAGATAGGATTTTGAATCAACATTCTTGAGCGAGATTGCACACTTCTGGTCTCATTTCAGTCTTTTTGCCTTTTGGCTTCTTCCCTATTGAACTTTTTTCATTTTTAACACATTCCTCTGAGAACCCTGATGAAATATTTATTGGAAACAATTGATATTAACTCACCATGTTTTCTAGTAGAGCCTCTAGTTTGTTTTTTAAAACTTTTTCTGCAACATTGTTTTGATACTTTTGAGTCTCATTAAATAACTGCTCGACATCCCTTATTGTAGTTCTCTAAAGATTTCTGTTTCTTTGTCTTTGACAACATCTGGTTTTACTCTGTATATTATTTCCCACTCATGTTTCTTGCTTCGTATTAAGCTGTTTTATTTTTTCCTAGTCTTACTTGCTTTTCCTTCCCTTTCTCTTTTCCAGGTCTTTGTCTATAATCAGAATTTGGGGTTTTCTTTTAAGATCTCTAAAACGAATTTTAGTCATGCCATCTGACTAGCCGATATTAGTCCCAGCACTGGACTTGACAGTAGTTTCATTTTCTCCCCACTGGTGTCGGCTTCTATTGCTTCATCATCATAATTCTTCTTTGTTTGCATTTCAATAATTTATACTTTTTGTTACTTTTCCTATTATTTTATTTAAATTTATGCTAATATTATATCTTTCTTGCTCTGTTTCTTGAGTGGCAAGCTAAACTCACTTGTTTTAAATCATTTGCTTTTTGAAATTCTTATAGTTGTCTACAGATTTACCCCTAAATATTCTTTTCTCTGCATTCCACAATTTTTAATAAGTAATATTTTAATTCTTGTAGTTTTTATTTCATTGTGATTTTTTAAATCCAAGAGTAATTCAGGGTTGTAGATTTAAATGTCCAAACTTTTCTGTTTCCTTTTACTATTTTAAAATGTTTGCTTTGTGATTTTTCCAGCTTTATTGAGGTATAATTGACAAATAAAATTGTAAGATATTTAAAGTGTACAACATGATGATTTGATATATGTATACATTGTGAAAGGATTCCTCTACTGAGCTAATTAACACATCCACCGCCTCACGTATTTACCTTTTTGTGTGTGTGTGAGAGCATCAGGTTCTACTCTTAGCAACTTTCTATTATACAATACAGTGTTGTCAACTGTAGTCTCACGCTATACATTAGGTCCTAAGGCCTTATTCCTCTTACAGCTGAAGGTTTGTACCCTTTTACTAATCCCTCCCTATTTTCCTCACCAGCCACTTTGTGATTTAACTACATAAGGCATGTATATTATTTGTACTTTGAAATTTGCTCTACCATTTTTGTGATGACTATGTAGTAAATTGTTGTAGATTTTCCATATGTTCATGTAAAAATTGGCTATTCTATATTTGTTGTGTATACAAATACCCAACAAATCTGTCAGATCAAGCTTATAGATTCTGTTATTCAAATATGCTGTGTGCTTAGTAATTTTCTGCCTGTGTGATGTATTATTTCTTATGGAACTGTGTTAAAGTCTCTTTTAAATTTCAGATTTGAAAATAATCTGTATTATTTTCAAAGCTATATTGTTTGGTAATAGGAGCTCATGATTTTTATATCCTTTTGGTTGTCTGTTCTTTTTATAAGTATGATCAGTTCATTAAAAAAAATCACCACTAATGTTGTTGCCTTAAACACTACTTTGGTGTTATATTAAATTGACATGACTGCTTTCTTGTGTGTAGGGTGTGTGTGCATATCTATCGACATCTTTACCTTCAGTATTTCAGTATAATTTTATTTTAAGCACGTATCTTGTCAGCAGAATAGATGGATTTAAAAAATCAACCAACTTGGCAATCTTGGTGTTTCAATAGGTTAAAAGGTCATTTATATATACACAGAAGCAAAGTTTTAAATTATAAGAGTTGAGAAAATTTTAAATTGTAACAACTTATGGTATTGAGAGTATACTCTTGGTACCAAACAGAAAATAAAAATAAAAATCCACACTTAGACATACAGCAAGAATGAGAGAATTTTTTTTAAAGCCATCAGAGAAAATAAAGATTACCTAAAAAATAATAATTTGTTGGCAGGAAATTCTCACTAGCAAAAGAAAGTTCCAGAATTCTCCAGGTCCCAGGCCATAACTAGGTATTTTAATGGCACTTTAATGGTATGCAGCAGTGGTATTCTGAATACCACAGCTCAGGTCTGAGAGACTTAGTGTTCATTTCCTGAAGCCAGCATCTGTGTCCACCTTACTCCCTTGGTCTTTAGCTTGCAACAAGTTACGACCATGGGAACTGGTAGGTAATGTTTTTATGTGATTTTCCCCCTTTTTAACTAGCTAAGGGGCCTAACTGCTTATTTTGGATGCAAGCAGTAAGCCTGGCTCAGGTCCCTTGTTTAGCCCGAAGCCCTTTTGTCCCTATTACACCGCTTGAACAATCTCATCTAAGTACAAGACTAGAATTCCCACTTTGGTTTTAGCCTGGCTCACCCCTTTCTGTCCCATCTTCGGTCCATTTAGCTATCTATCTTTTATTTGTGCCTGACTATGCTTCTGCCTTCTTCTTTTTTATTTTATACATGTATCTTTAATTTATTGGAGCAGAGTAAGTATATCAAAGCATAGATTTACTCCCCTACGATGCATTTCTTGTGAAGAGCTTACACACATTAAAATGGAATATATACTTGATTTCTGTTAGTTGTTTACATTACAGGCATAATATACAAATCACGAGGCTTCAAACTATTTCTCAAGTTGCACAGAAAATTTTCTGTCATTCGTCTTATTACTTAATTTCATGTTACTTAAACAGTTGATGCATTCTTGAGCATGCATAAAACATGTCAAAATAAATGACTAAACAAAAGGCTAAGAAAGTTTAAGTTTGCAGCTTACCTAGATTTCCATAATTTTATATTAACACAACTTAAAAGTACTACTTTAGACAATCTTTACCTTTTCAAATGTTCCCAAATAAAACAGCGCCCCGACAGATGACATCTACATTAAATTTAAGGATAAATTAGGAGATATTTATAACTTAAGGATATTTGAAAACAGTATTAGCCACATTAATATTGGTGGACCTTTTCTAGTAAAACCCAATCCTTGCTAGATAAGAGAATGGTAAAGACAGACAAATAAAATTATTTGGCCAGAAGCAAGCAAGAAAACTTTAGAAGCCAAATCTCCTTGTTTCTAATGCAGTGCTCTTTCCACAACTCTTTTCATTAGAACTCTTTGTTCTAATGAAAGAACAATGATAAATATACTCGGATATAAACATTTAATGATTTCCCAGAATTTGTAAATAGAAAGCTACAATGATATATGGGAAATAGAGAACTGTTTGTAGTAAAGAATGGAAGCAAGTAAGTAAAGTCAGGAATTATTTTTACCTAGATAAACTTACTACACAAAGTTTACCTGAGAAAATGTTTGCTTTCTGTCTTCAAGTAAAGACTGGGGTGCTGATAGAAAATCCTTTTTCTCACAGCTCTCCTGGCTGATGAGCGTGTCAGCGTAGTTGGGCTGCGGGAAGGTCACGTGACTCACCTGCGAATCCGCGGTGAGCGAGACCTCGTGGGAATAGGTCTGCAGGAAAGCCCGCACCCCGTCTACGCCCACAAAGTGAGAGACGGGCACGCCCGTCAATCCTCCTCCTGAAGCCTGGAGCACACGCGACCTATGCCAGCGCCACAGTCTGAGCGCCAGCAGCACAATGACAAAGGCGAGGAAGACGCAGGACACCGCGGCCACCGCCACCACCAGGTACAGCGTGAGGCTGGAGTTGTCCAGGTTGGTGGAGGGTTCCATGCTGCCCAAGTCGGCCAGCACATCTGGGATGCTGTCAGCCATCGCCACTGTGAACGTGACAGTGGCCGAGAGAGGGGGCTGGCCGTGGTCCTGGACCGCCACCACCAGGCTCTGCTTGAGCGCGTCTCTGTCCAGCAGGGCCCGCGCTGTGCGCACCTCGCCCGTGTGCAGCCCCACCGCGAAGAGTCCCGGCTCGCTGGCCTTGAGAACGCGGTAGGACAGCCAGGCGTTCTGGCCCGAGTCTCTGTCCACAGCCACCACCTTGGTCACCAGGTAGCCAGGCTCTGCGGAGCGGGGTGCTAGCTCCACACCGGTGGAACCGTCAGTGGGGAGGGCGGGGTACAGAATCTCAGGTGTGTTGTCATTCTGGTCCACCACGAATATGTCCAGTGACACGTTGCTGCTGAGCGGCGGGTCCCCGCTGTCACTTGCAGTCACTCTCAATTGCAGGTCACGGAACTGCTCATAGTCGAAGGGTCGCAACGCATACAGGACTCCAGTGTCTGAGTTGATGGAGACAAAGGAGGATAGAGGTACCCCCTGGATGGTGTCCTCCACCAGGGAATAAGTGACTCGTGCATTCTCATTGCTGTCAGCATCGTGGGCAGTCACGGAGAAAATGGAGGCACCTCTGGGGTTGTTTTCTGGAAAGTAGGTGGAGTAGGAGTCCTGGAGGAAGACAGGGGAGTTGTCATTGATATCTGTCACTTGCAGTGAAATGTGTGTTTCGGTAGATAGAGTCGGAGTTCCCTGATCTGCTGCTGTTACTGTGATGTTGTACTGGGAGGTAAGTTCTCTGTCCATTGTTCTTTCTGTCACTAAACGGTAATAATTATCATCTAACTTTTCTAATTTAAAGGGTAGATTTCCAGAAATGGAACACGTAGTGCGACCATTGTCTCCGGAGTCCTGGTCGTGCACACTGATAAGAGCAATTATGGCCCCAGGAGGAAAGTTTTCTGGGACTGCAGTGGTGACAGAGGTGATGGTCACCTCTGGGGCATTATCATTTATGTCCAGAACTTTGACCAGCACCTTAGCTCTGGCCATGAGGCTTGAACCATCCTGAGCTTGAATTTCCATTGGATAAATTGTGTATTCTTCGAAATCCAGAGGTTCTTTATTTGATATTTCTCCTGTGTAAGAATCCAAGTGAAATACTTGTGCCACTTTGTGGTCTATATTATGAAACAAATATGTTACTTCCCCATTGGCTCCCTCATCTGGGTCCGTGGCTTTTACCGTGAGCAGCCGAGTGCCCAGCGGCACGTTCTCAGGAACACTCGTGTGGTACTGTGCTTGAGTAAACGCTGGAGGGTTGTCGTTTGCGTCCACCACCTGAACTCGAATTCGGAGGCTTCCTGAACGGACTGGGTTGCCCCCATCAAAAGCGGTGAGGAGGAGGCGGTGGACAGCGTCTTCTTCCCTATCTAGGGGACTCTGCAGCACCAACTCTGGCTGTTGGGACCCATCAGGTCCCTGTTGCACATCCAGGGAGAAATGAGGGTTGGAGCTGAGCTGGTACATCTGGAGCGAATTCATACCCACATCAAGGTCTTGCCCAGAAGGTAGAGGGATCCTGGTACCTGGAGTGGTTATTTCATTCATTTTAAATTCTACTTCCTCTAACTGGAATTGCGGAGTGTTGTCATTAATATCAATTACTTCCACTTCAACAGGGAAAAGCTTCATTTTATCCTCTACCAAGACGTTAAAACTCACCAGACACTGCAGGGTCTGAGCGCAGAGCTCCTCCCGATCTATCCTGCCTGCGGTGACCAAGCTGCCGCTTCGCGGGTTCAGAGCAAAAAGCTGAGTCCTACCTCTAGAGACGATGCGGACTCCCCGCTCCGCCACCTCCTGGGGTTGTAGTTCCAGGTCTTTGGCAAGGTTGCCTACAAAGAAACCTTTGTCTGTCTCTTCTGGCACTGAGTAGCGGATCTTCCCAGCCTGGGCTTCCAACAACATCCACAGAAAAAGGAACAGCAAGACCAGCCTGCGGCAGCCGAGCACCTTCACTCGAATCGTCATTGCTCTCTTGCTTCGTAGTTTTCTCCCAGTCTGGCACCAACAGTATTGTTTCTCTGCTCTTCTGAGTCTAAATTAACCGAATTTTCAGGAGAATTCAGAGCATAAAGGGGTCCTGAAGTAGGATCTGGGCAGCCTCAGGGAGTCTGTTTTCAATCTGGCAGTGATGGAGGTTCTAAGAAGTTTTTTTTTCCCCTCGGTGTGTTTGTGTGTGGGTGTGTGCGCGCGCGCGCGCTGCCTTTATCTCCCAGACTGGTGAACAGCGGCACCCAGAGTCCTAACCAGTTACTACACTCCTAGATAATACTTGAACTTACTCTTCTCACTAACCTGATCAACCTTTCCTCAAGTCTTAGTTTATTGTCAAGGAAATAGTTAAGCATTATACATTATAACTATGAAAAGGAGAAATTGCTGTGTTCATTTAATTAGTTACATCTACATATTGCTTAATTGTAACATACAGTAGAATCCAAGCTATCCTGGATATTCCAGTAGTATTCCCAAGCTATCAGCTTTCCATTTGCTAGTCAGGAAGTATCACAAAGGGGACAAATCATTCCTCCACTTCTTCTGTAGTACATTTTGATCACTTGATAATTTCACAGGCCATATAGAAGAGCAAATGCCCTTTGACTGGAGGATGAAAAAAACTAAAAGGAAAAATAAACTTTTAGAGTGTAAGCAAGACTTTAAAAAATTGGACTATCCCATTTCCTATCCATTGCGCTCTGAATATTTAGCAGAAACCTTGGAATTTTGAAGGACATATTTTACTCCATCCTTATTTTTCCTCTTTTACTGAAGCATCTATGTATTATGTGGATTTAAAAAGACCTTTAATATGGGCTTTTTTTTTTTTTTTTTCCAGTACGCTGGCCTCTTGCTGTTGTGGCCTCTCCCGTTGTGGAGCACAGGCTCCGGATGCGCAGGCTCAGCGGCCACGGCTCATGGGCCCAGGCGCTCCGCGGCATGTGGGATCTTCCCGGACCGGAGCATGAACCCGTGTCCCCTGTATCGGCAGGTGGACTCTCAACCACTCCGCCACCAGGGAAGCCCTAATATGGGCTTTTAAAAGACCTTCAACTCAGCTGAAAGTAATATATTTTGATATATTAAAATAACACTGGGCTTGGACTTCCCTGGCCGTCCAGTGGTTAAGACTCCATGCTCCCACTGCAGGGGGCAGGGGTTTGATCCCTGGTCGAGGAACTAAGATCCCGCGTGCCACGCCACGTGGCCAAAACGAACAAACAACAAAAAACCACTGGGCTCTTGGAATTTCATTGGAAAAATGTCACATGAATATCTAATTTAGACTAAATTTAAGAGACACAAGAGGTAGTGATATTTTTCAAAATTGAAAATAAAAAGGCCACATCTTTATTTTTAGATAGTCTATATTAGGATAATATGTATTCTCCTACATCCACACTTAATGTTTTCTCCAAAAGAAGTTGGTTTTCTAAAACAGCAAGATTTTAAAACTATATTGCCTTCCTTCTTTTACTCATTGCAAATTAGTAAAAGGTTACTAACTGAAGTGTCTTGGGCTTAGTGTGATTTATTTATCCTTACACAGAAGTTAGGGAAGAATGATCTCTGCATTCCAGAGGCCGACAATTTTAGGAACAAATTGGGCCAGATATTGGCAGCCAACCCATGGACAGCATGACTGAGAAGGCTCTGGAAAATGATGCAGGGAAACAATCAAAGGCCAGAATAGTTCTTGGAGAGAGACTCTATGTTCTTACACAACCAAATCTACAGTTTCCCAGCTTCTCAAAGACAAATATAATGTAGCCCAAGAGCAGAAACTTAAAGATGCAGTGAACCTCCTTCAATATTTCGAGGAAAGAACTCTTTAGCCAGAAACATAATTTTTTCAGAACGTACATTAATAGGCACAAAGTTTTGCCCAAAGGAATTTTCTGGGCTAACGAAACAAATCAAAATATACATAGAAACTAGCAAGCAAACTTGTAGAGCTCTCCCACACCCCTAAAGACAACAAAAAATAAGCAGGATTGCTTACAGCAGGGTGATATTTATGAAATAAAAGTGTTAAAACTCACACGAATACATTTGAATCCAATGTAATAGTTAAGGCGTCACTGCTGGTACTACAGAAACTATCTAGTTGAAGATGTTTCTGAGTTAACTTGAAGAAATTAAGACTTTGCAATATCTGAAGTCACATATTGACTGTAGGAATAGGGCAAATCTCTCTTGCTGAAGTGGGAGCAACTCCACGTCCAGTCTTGGACCAGGCTGAATTGCAGGGCTGGAGGAGCACTGCAGGCACCAGGCTATGGCCAGAGTCACTGCTAGGAAGAAGAACATGAAGATCAAGGTGAAAAGGCCATGACCAGGTAAAGCTGTAGCTCTGGCAGTAGGTGCTGGGTGGTCGCTGAGGTCTGTCCACAACTCCTGCAAAGACTAGCTGCAGCATGACGAATGTCGTCATTGAGCATGGTGACCAGCAAGCCCCAGAGAACGGTGTCTCTGTCATCTGCAGTGCCCCAGTGGGCATCTTGCTCTTGTGCATTCTCAGGTTGAAGAGTCAGATTAGGACACCTGATAGGACAGTCAGGTGTTGCGCCCCAGTCACCTTGGCGACCAGGTAGTCGAGCTGCAGTGTGTGATGCCCCATTGAAGAGGCATGTGACTTCCAGGTGCAACTCCCAGCATAGCACGTCTTCTGTGAGTTTTTGCAGTGGTAGTACACCATTACAGGCAGGCTCAGGCTGACACAGAGCACTGGTCCCAGGCCACAGAGTCAGCTCAAAGGTAGGCTGCAGTGAACACCACTGTGCTCTGCACTCACTGACACGTCAGACAACAGCACCCAGGTCACTGGTCAGGAAAAATAGGAGGCACTTAGGGCACCAAGTTTCAGTTGGAAGTGCTAAAGTGTGCAATGGAGGCTCTGGGTGAGCCTCCCATTCCCAATCTCCTGGACCATACAGTAGACCTGTTGGAAAATTAGAGCATTTTTGTTGATGTGGGTTATATGCAGGCTAATGCTTACACTGGAGGAGAGGGACAGCTTGTCTTTGTTACCTCGTGATTCCGAATCTGCTCCCGGTTTAGAATCCTTTCTGTCAGTAGCTTACAAAGAATTACATAGTAATTCTTTGTTGTGAATTGTTTGGCTATGTGTTTATTACTCTCTACAATATCTTTCACTTTTCTCTTCAAGAAATCTCTGAGTCCTGTTGTTTTGATTAGAGCAACCACAGTTCTTATCTCTAATAGGACTAAACACTCAGCTGAAAATCACCTGCACTGTATCATAGTTCTCAACCTGCGTTTCAACCAGGATTGTGAAAAGCGCCTTTAACTGTCTCCAGTCTTCTCTTCTAAGCTGTGATATAACAGTCATTCTTCAAAATCAAAGATGGTGCTGTCGTTATTGAATATACTGTGTATGCTCTGTGAGACCATGTGGAAAGTGTAGAACTCTACCTTAAGGGTGTCATCTAGGTCAGCAGGGATCACCTGAAGAATGCAGACAAGGAGGTTCTCTGGCAGGCAGACTCTGCTGTATACTTTGTAGCTCAGCATGGGAGGACTGGCTTTGGCATCCAAGACCTGCATCTTGCCCTGAGACTCCTCCCCACCACTAAGTGGTGGCAGCTCTGCTACTCTGGTCCAGATTTCTCCAATAAATAACCAGAATATTTACTGCCCTAGTGTTCTCTTTTACTTTGGGCAGTGAGGGAGATGGTTAACTGAAATTAATTTGATAAACTTGTAGAGAATTACTTGCAGCATCCATATCTACTGCAGTTTAGGAGTAAACTTTGCTCCTATTAAGATGTTTTCCAGAATTTTCAAAACAAAATGGCTGTGCTCAAAGCCGTATGTTATTTATATCCAGGATAAATAATTTATATAAAAAACATTTATAGGATTTCCAGTGAAGGTTTCAGATTCAAGGGGCCTAGGGACTTCCTTTGGCCTATTGGCTAGATCTATCCTGTCATTTGTTCCTTCCTACTCTCTTTACTGGCGGTAAAGAGAGGCTTCTCAGCACTCACCCATGGTTCTTGTCACCAACATGTAGATCTTTGGCGAGATTCCTCACTTTTAAATCCTCGGCTATCTCTTCCGGAATCTCTCAGCGTAACTGCTGCGCAGTTCACTAGGCTGAACAAAGACATCAGAAAAGGAAACAGCGCTTCCTGCACTCCCGCGTCTTCCCTGTGGGGAGACTTCTCTCTCTTCACGATGCTGCTTCGTAGGACCGAATGCACCTCGCTACAGTTGCTCCTCGGATTACCAAGGTGCGCTGGAAAGAAAAGGCAGCAGCTCTCTCAGACCTTCCTGACCCAGATGTTTGGAGCAGATTGCAAGAGAGATGGCGTGCAGAGTCCGCTCCTGGTGTGTTTCTCAAAAATGTGCATACATCGCTGCGTCAGAACCGCCAGTGGGTTCCTTTGTTTCACTCTAAGCCACGGATTGGCCAACAGCGGCACCCAGAGGTCCAGTAGGATAGCTACCACATGTTATTTCTGAAAGTCCTCACAGGAGACTGTATTTGCTTTATTTCCGGGACTTATTTTTACAATACCAGTTGGTTCAGTATAAAGGCTACAAGTCACTATTTCTTTTTGACAAAATACTAATAAAGTGGTCTTTCCACAAAATTTAAATCAAACGTTTTAATTTATTAAAATTCACATCAGCTTAAAATAAAAATTCTTACACAATTTCCCTCTTGACATTTCCCTTTGAAGAACACTTGAAGCTTCTTTTTATTAAACATTTTTTACTCAAGAAATTACCCACTGTAAAAAGAATTTTACATGAGAAAAGGAAATTCTCACTGTATATTCTACAATATAAAAGAAACTTGCAATATAAAAGGTAGAAAATACTGACAAAAATTTTCAAGTATCAGTAATCGCATTATTTAATTACAATTTTACACATAACATAAAATTTACCAACTTAACCATTTTAACTGTACAGTTCAGTAGTATTAAATACATTCATAATGTCATGCAACCATCACAATCATCCATCTCCAGAACTCGTTTTATCTTATAAAGCTGAAACCTATACCCATTAAATGGTAACTCCTCATTCTCCCTCCTCTCCAGCCCCTGGCAAACACCATTCTACTTGCTCTGTCTATGATTTTGACTATTCTAAATACTTCATATAAGTGGAATCATATGGTATTTGGCTTTTGCGTGTGTGTGTGACTGGCTTATTTTACATAGCATAATATCCTCAAGGTTCATCCATGTTGCAGCATATATCAGATTTTCCTTCCTTTTTAAAAGAATATGGAAGCTCCTCAAAAAATTACAAATAGAACTACCACATGATCCAGCAATTCCACTTCCGGGTATGTTTCTGAAAAAAACGAAAATACTAATTCAGAAAGATGTAATCACCCCTATGTTCACTGCAGCACCATTTACAATAGCCAAGATATGGAAGCAACCTAAGTGCCCATCAATAAATGAATGGATAAATAAGATGTGGTACATATACAAAGCCATAAAAAAGAACAAAATCTTGCTACTTGCAACAACATGGATGGACCTAGAGGGTATAATGTTAAGTGAAGTAAGTCAAACAGAAAAAGGCAAATACCATATGATTTCACTTATATGTGGAATCCGAAAAAGCAAAACAAATAAACATAACAAAACAGAAACAGATTCACAGATACAAAGAACAAACAGGTGGCTGTCAGAAGGGAGAGGGGTGAGGGGATGAGTGAAACAGGCAAGGAGTATTAAGAGGTACAAACTTCCATTTACAAAATAAATGAGTCACAGGGATGAAATGTACAGCATGGGGAGTACAATATAGTCAATAAAATTGTAGTAACTTTGTATGGTGACAAAT